ATATTTTGGACTTTTAAAACCATTATTTTGGAGGTTTTGGGGCTGGATGCTCTGTGCTCGTGGGTGTCCTTTCTTCTCCCTAAGGCGCTGGAGGATTTAATGAGATCTGGCTGCTGTCCAGCTCTCAAGTCCTGGCCTGGTGGAGGCTAATTTATTACAAAAAAAAAAAAAAAAGGAAAAAAATAGGAGAGGAAAGAAAGGGCTAAGGATGCAAGGAATGGAGCACGTGTGTTCTGTAGGGCAACACTGGACACCTTTACTGTTGCTAACTGCCAGTCTCCAAGCCCTCTGGGCTTCGCAGAAGGCGTTTCTGCACCTTGCTCACAGTTTTGACCCATTTTAGCAGCCCCCACTTCTCCTTGCTAGCGCAGGAGGGCAATTCTATGGTGCTAATAGGGTCAGAATTGTTCCTCCCAACAAAAAGATAAACTAATGCATTAAAAAAAAAACTTCTGTCTGTAAACTAGGGATAAGATGATGCTGTCTGATTGATCTGGATCACTTTTTTATTTTCTTTAGAGTACCTCATCCTTGGAGAGCAACTTGGAGGGACTAGCTGGTGTTTTGGAAGCTGATTTGCCAAACTACAAGAGCAAGATACTAAGAATTCTGTGTACTGTGTACGTATGCAGAAGGCTTGGGAATCTGGGACATGTTTTCTTCTCTCTGCTCAGTGGGAAAGCTGAAGTTTTTAGAATGATTTAAATGCCAAGAACAGCTTTTTAGTTCTGGATTGCTGATATAGCTTAGGGTTTGCCATGTTCCAAACAAAAGAAATAAGGCAATAAATATATTGAATAGTAGGTAGAATTCAAGGAAACGTTTTTTTTTCTCGAACTTGCACTTGAAATGTGTGTAAGGCATGAAGCAGGCAGAAGTAACCTTAGAGTTGCTCCTCAATTGCAGTGAGGACTACAGTGATGCTGGGTAATAATACCCTATTTCTGAATGAAATGTGTGAAGTACCACAACTACTAGAAGCTAACACTGATTCAGTTTTATTGTCCGTGCTGTTTTCATGTCATTCATTCCATCTCAGTGGCACTGAGTTTCCATAAGTTGCTTCTCTAGCAAGAGGGAAGGTGGAAAGGCTGGATACAGGCTGTCCCGTGGAAGCTGGGGAGCAGAGGTCTAAATACTGTTTACAGTACCTCCGACTTCTTTATTCCTATGCTATATTGCATATAAAAAATTAGTTGTTTGGACTTGGAATCAAACTGGATCATTTAAGATTTGTACCACTGTCATGTAATCTCGCTGTTGCTTTATAGCAAAATGGCTTCTAAAGTGACAAAATGGCTTTCCACATTTAGCATAAATTCTATCATTTTTATTTTATGTGTATATATATATATATATGTACATGTTAGGTAGAAAATCTTGAAGTGTGAATCCTGTGTTTTCAAATCTGTCTGTAAAATCACACACTTTGGCAGCTCATTAAATGTTGTAATTGGAAATCCCTGCTTACAGACAATCTAGACTGAAGTCTTATCCTATCTTTTGTTTTCAATAATAGCTGCTGTCCAAGTTACATAAGCTTTGTTGATACAGTGACAAAAGCCCTGCAAGGGTCTTAAAGCAGGACTGCCACACTGGTTAGACAGCAATTTATGCCTGAATACCCGCCAGTTAGAAATAATAATGATTTAACTAAAAAGCAAATACTTATAAATGTAAAATAAATGTAGTTGCAAGTAGCAATTGCCTTTTAAAGCAAATGTAGTTATAAGAAAAAAAAAATTTGAAATATTGTGAATTGGATAGAAATCAAAAATCAAGATAACACTTTATTTCAACTTGTGATGAGTTTCACTTTGAAAAAAATTAAGGTATTTGTGAGTTGTCATGATAAATACATGTCTAATGCGATGTTTCTTTCTTTACTGTGTCAGTGCACGCCTGTTACCAGAAAAGCTGACTGTTTACACAACATTAGTTGGGTTGCTGAATGCCAGGAACTACAACTTTGGTGGAGAATTTGTAGAAGCCATGATTCGTCAGCTTAAAGAATGTCTGAAAGTTAATATGTATAATGAGGCTGTGTTTTTAGTAAGTAGCATTTCTCACATCTTTTCCACCTATTTCTCTTGTCATTATCCCCACCCTTTAAGCCTACTGTCCTTTTAACACCTGGAAGAACTGGAACCTTTCTGTCCTGCAGTCTTTTCTGGCATCAACATACAGTACTCCAAAGATTGCCTGGAGAATTTGTGTTATGCAAGATATACTTAAATCTTAAGGGGAGGAAGTCATATTTGTTGCTAAGTTGGCTTCCAACTGCATATTTTCTGTGCGACAAATTAACTCACAGTAAATAAAAGTTGCTACTGCCACCCTTTGTCATTTGCACTGCAGTCAGATATGAAGAATGGGTGAACACCACTCATTTTCAGTTGTTCAGAAGTGTATGTTCTTTTCGTTTCCATGGGTGAGCCCAGTAGAAAATGACTTGCCTTCACAAAAGAGAGAGAGAGAGGGGAAAAAAAAAAAAGTGTCGGCTTTTTACCCTGTTTACGTCCGAGAGTTTGAATCAAGCCCTCACAAGGTTGGGGAGGAGCAAGACCTTTCTAAGCCCCACTGTGTCTTACATGTATATTTATGTGTACGTTTTTCTTTTCTCACAAGTATCTGTGTGAAACTTTGGGTTAGGATTAAATAATTGTAGCAACTCATCAGTTATATGGCATGCTGC